CTAAAACCCTAAACCCTAAACATCAGCTCTTCCGGCCCCCGAGGCCCGAGGCGGCGGCCCAGGAATGCTTCCACTCCCATCGCCTCATCCAGTCAGCCAGATTGCGATTCTCGTTGCAGAAGCCGAACCTCTGCGTTGAAGGCTTAGGGCTTTAGGAACTTTAGGGGCTTAGGGTTTAGAATTTTAGGTTGCAAGGCTTCGGGGGTCTTTTGGGGCTTCAGGTTTCAGGGTATGCGCTTTAGGGTTTAAGTCTTCTTGTGCTTTGGTGGCTTCATGATTCAGTGTTTGAGGTTTCCGGGTTCTAGGGCGTGTCCGGAACCGGTTACTTTCACGGAAGAAAAGTCCGCTGCATCACGGAAAGTGGTCCGAAGATGTCCGAAGCGACATCCAGCTCTTCACAGAGGACGACAGGAACTCAGAGACCCCATCCAAACACCCAAGCCGAGCTGCTCTTTGCAGGCGACTTCCGGGGAAGGATGGCGCTGCCCATGGAACTGCACCTAAGCCCAGGCTCTTGCATGTTTCTGCGCATCGAGCTGATGAAACCCCGCCTCCATGTCCAGACCGCTGACGTTCATGGCCTGACTGAGACATGCTCTAGATTCAAAAAAAAAAGGCCACTCGTAAGATGAGGTGGCAGCTCGGAGAAGCATCGTGTAGGGCTCCAGGGACGACCCCATGTGGTGGCCTCCGGATCTCCGAAACATGGACAAGCTCAGCATTTCCTTCTCCTAGTGCTTGCACAGTCTGGCAGGCACCTTACTTGTGGGGTACGAAAAACAAATCGACTACTAAAGGTTTATAACTGGGGTCCCATCAATTGTTCTTACAGCTCTTCCCTAGCAGGCCTGCGACAAGGAGCCGCAAGCCGCGCCGGCGCTTCCGCAGCACCTCCCTGAGGTTCTTGGCGCTAAAGGGGGCAGGCACGCTCAGAGCATCTGGCCGCGCCGGTGTCGCCACACCCACTTTGGCCAACCACTGCAGAAGATCGGCCTTGGTCTACCTTAGGAACCCCAAAACCTACTTTTTGTAGGGTCCCTATAAATCCCATATTAGGGTTTACAACAAGAACCTGCAAAAAAGCGGGTTTTGGGTTCTTAAGGTATGAGGTAAACCCAACATAACATGCCTCATGCTGGAGATGC